CTTTATACTGTAAGCCTGTATTTGTTTGCAATATTTAAGATTGTGTTAAATTATTTTGTATAATAATCACAAACACACTAGTTTGTAAACTTTTTTACTTATTCTTTAAGTCATTTACACACAGACCAAAGAAAATCGTTTGTTTGTGCTGTGCCAAATAATATGGACAGAAAATTGTATTAATTTTATTTCTCTCGTAACAACTGTAGGAGTTTGTTATTGTCAACAATGTTTTTGTTAAACTGTAATATACAGTATTTTCATGATGTCTATTACATCACTGTGTGTGTGTCTGTGTGTATGAGTGCATTTTTGTACTGTGTTTTCGCATGGGAAAATCTCCCAGCTGTGGAGGCTTTGAGAGTCTGCTGTGTATTGATGGAACATTTGGGGCGTTCCTCTATGTGTGCGTGTGTGTGCGCAGAGGTAATGATCATCTAGAGGAAATCCTCAATCAAATGCCAGAAAGAGCACTCTGAACAAGCTCACTGACAGAAACATGGACTTTTACACACACACACACACACACACACACACACACACACACACACACACACACACACACACACACACACACACACACACACACACACACACGCAGCTGTGGCTGCTAACAACCTCAGGGAACTGCTGCCGACTGTACCAAAAAAAAAAAAAAAAAAAGAAAACAAAGAGAGAGAGAGACTGATAATAAAACTTAGTAATAACAACTAATATCTCCATGACTACGAACACATTTCTTTAGACTCCATCAGAGTCTACTACTGTACATCAAAACAAAACTGCACATGCAAGCGATGAAACACAACTGTTTCACTAAGGTGCCAATTTTGCATAAAATACGTTTTGATCTGCATTTGTGTTGCATTTTAGGATATAAACCTGCATTTCCATTTCAAATTTCTACATGGAATATTAATTACAACAGTCATTTTTAAAATATTTCCATGTTGTTGTTAACACTACCCCAAATAAACACTTCCCTCCCTCAACAGCCTATAACTTCCCATTGAAATAACTAAATAAACATAATTAACAAGTAAAACAAAATTTTTTAAATTATAATAAATATAAAAATAATAATAGTAATAAAGATAACAAATGAATCTGCATTTCTAAGTAAAAAATCAGGCTAAGAAAAATAAAGACATGTACACTTTGACTAAACTGAGTTTAAACTCATTATATGGTGCTATTTTCAAATACAAATGTGCATTCTTTTTCAAAATCGGTATTTTACTTGCAGTTTTTATTTTAGTTTAAAAATGTAAGGGAAAACATGTTATATTATACCATTTTTTATGTAAAAGGTAGAAATGAAGGTCAAGCTCTTACTCAAATGTCAACAGATTGTACAGTAACATATAAATAAGATTAGAAAAGTTCACATCAAATAAGTACAAATTGCCAAAAGTGTGTGTTGGATTTACATTACATGCACATTGACAAAGTCTGTACATGGTCATAAGCCACGGTATGATTTTAAAATTTTTAACCATAAGTTTTTTGTTTTTATTAATTCAATAATAAGTCTTGAATTGCTTCACAGGTGCTTTCCATTTCTTTATCGAAACTGCCCTACAAAACCTTGATCTTTGAGGTGGAAACTGTAACTACAGTTTAACAAAGTGACATTTGTTGACATTTGAGTAGTTTGAAACCATTCATTCATTCATTCATTCATTCATTTATTCATTCATTTTCTTTTCAGCTTAGTCCCTTTTTTGTTAATATGGGGTTGCCACAGTGGAATGAACTTCCAACTTATCCAGCACAGGTTTTATGCAGCGGATGCCCTTCCAGCACAGCCGATGCCCTGTGCTACCCACTGAGCCACCGTGCTGCTAGTTTAAAACCACACCTTGTAAATAAAACAATAATAATAGTAATACATCTGTTAAAGTACTGTTAGCTCTTGACTAATTCAAACACTATATCACAATATAACTTTGATCAAAACTTTCACATTGAAAGAGATCAAAATCCCATAATGCAATTTGAAAGTGCAAATAAACTTATTTACAGAATGACAAACTATGCAAATTATTTAATTAGCATTTTTCTATTTAGTTATTTGTATTTTCAATGTTAAGATACAGTATATAAATGTGGAACTCATTCATTTTCCTTCAGCTTAGTCCCTTATTTATCTGGGGTCACCACAGCAGAAGGAACCTCCAGCTATTCTGGATGCCCTTCCAGCTGCAACCAAGTGCTGAAAAACACCCATACACTCTCATTTACACACGCATTCATACACTGTGGCCAATTTTGTTTACCCAATTAACCTATAGCGCATGTCTTTGGACTGTGGGGGATAACATGCAAACTCCACACAGAAATGGCGACTGGTCAAGCCGGGACTGAAAGCAGTGACCTTCTTGCTGTAAGGCAACAGTGCTAACTACTGAGCCTCTGTGCCGCCCTTAAATATAGAATTACTACTCTAAATATCGCTGCTAACACAAGCTTCATGCTAGAGAAAACACAACACATAATCTATGTATGTATGGCAGCATGTATACAGTAGTTGCCTGCATAACTGCAAGGCTCTCTTTACTTCCCACTTCCCCCTGCTGTCTCCCCATTCATTGTGTCCGTCCCGAAGTACCCCAGGCATTGTTTAATCCAGATGGCGTAATCACAACCCTCTCTCTCTGCCTTCCTCTTCCCATTCATAAAGCCTCCTATTAATAACCTGATCCCTCACTATCCTGTCAGCGATGAACAAATAAGAAGACAGAAAGAAGGAGAGAGGAAAAGGAGAAAATCGGGGGATCCCCAACATGAAGAAAACAGGATGAAGGAGAGCATGTCGTATACAGTCAGTTATGGCCAGGAGGACCTCAGTATCCAGAGAGGAGAGGGTTGATTTCCGGACAAAGGAAAAGCAAGTCCACCATCAACCACTTTCACAGACGCCTTATTTACTGCTGGGGAAAAGCAGCTTTACGGCTCAGTGATTCAGCCATTTGTGACTCCAAATGGGACTCAAAGGAAAACAAAGACTTCAAACGAACCGGACAGAGAGAGTAAGAGAGAGAAACAGGAGATGATTGTGGCTAAAATCTTTGGTAAAAATATCTGCAACTTCCACAACAGAAGCAAGTGGCTCCTTAAAAGGATGTACAGTAGTTTATCCCTTTTTTCAAACCCTATTCCCCCCAATATTTCAAATGAAAAATTACACACCCTCAAGTGGTTCTATTTACAGTAAGAATGTTGAGAAATGACAGCCATTGACAATCATAGTAGGACAAAGTAAACAAAAAAGACACAAGTAGAGTAGCAAATGATGACAGAATTTTTGGTTTTGATTGAACTATGCCTTTAAGTATTTATCCCTTGTACTGTATAACTGCTTTTTATAAGTACAATTAATATTATGATGACTTTATTGTACGCCACAGTACAGACTTTGCAAAACAAGTTATTTTTCCCTAGTCACCTTCTCTGAAACCATGAAAATATGCACTATGAAGACACTCATTTTCCGGCAACTGCTTTTCAACAGTTTCTAATGCGTCAGTGTTTCCATTCTGACATTATATTTGACAAAAATCAGATTTTTCAAGACTTTGGTGTCTTCCGTTTATTGACATACCTTGAAAAGTCACAAACAAGATTTCTGTGTGTGTGTATATATTATATTATATATATGTGTGTGTATGTATATATATATATATATATATATATATATATATATATATATATATATATATATATATATTGCTGTATATATATACATATTGCTGTATATATATATATATATATATATATACATACATACATACATACACACACACACACACACACTCACATATATATGTATATATATATATATATATATATATATATATATATATATATATATATATATATATATATATACATATATATGTGAGTGTGTGTGTGTGTGTGTGTGTGTGTGTGTATGTATGTATGTATGTGTATATATATATACATATATATACATTATATATATCCATAATATAATATCTAATATAGTATTTAGAATTTAATTTGATAAAATGTTATAGAAAAATTTATATTATGAATGCAACAAGGCTGCGCGGTGGCACAGCGGGTAACGCTGTCGTCTTACAGCAAGTAGGTCACTGGTTCGAGCCTTGCTGGATCAGATGGAACTTCTGTGTGGAGTTTACCTGTTTGCCCATGTTAAGCTAAATTGTCTGGAGTGTATGTGAATGAGCGTGCATGGGTGTTTGCCTGTTATGGGTTGCAGCTGGAAGGGCATCTGCTGTGTAAAACACAAGCTGGATAAGTTGACGATTCATTCCGCAGTTGAATAAACCTTTATTAATCTTTATTCTTAATTTTTATTAAACTATAAAAACATTTTATTAATCTTTATACTTAGTCCCTTTATTAATCTGGCGACCCGAGATAAATAAAGGGACTAAGCTAAAAAGAAAACGAACGAATGAATGCAACAAAGACATGTTATGTGCTGACTGAATAAGAAGTTTTAATTTCAGACATTTGTTTTGTTATTATTTTTAAAATATTATAATTATCGGTGTGTAATAAATCTGAAAGTACATTATTTTCATAAAGAAGACAATAATTTTGCAATTAATGTATCAATAATTTAATAAACTGTTTTACTTAGCTTATTAAACTATTAATTTTCTATTAATATTATTTTTGCTAGTTTTATTAAAACAATTTATCTGAATCATTTTATTATTTTTTTTAAATGAGCAATTTAGAAACTCTAAACTTTTTACAACATCGTCTTCAACAAACAGTTTTATTTATTTATTTACTTACATCACTTTTTCATACACTGAAAAGTGGTAAATGTAAAAACTGTGATAAGTAGCCTACATTTAGCATTACTAAACATTGCTAATTGCATTTTTTCTTAGACTAGTTCTATTCTTTATGCTGAATAATTCATATAATTCATATTAACACTAGAGGGCGGAATTGAGACATGTATTCAATAGTATTCTGCAGACTTGCTCACACAGTACTGTACATGACGCCGTACTTCGTACAGAGATAAGAAACAACTGTGTTCACATAATCTCTCGTGGTCCATGGATGGGTTTGCTAATGCAAAGAACTCAGAATGAGCTATACGAAGATTTCAGGTAAGTCAACATCAAACATACTTTTAGAATATTTAAGTATTTAATTGTGAAACACATTCATTTACTGTTAAAAAGAAACAGAGGACTACTTGTTCCCCTTTTAAATAGTGACTTGCTCTATTTTCGTAGCGTTTCGTTTCTGATAAATAGTTTAGTTTTGAGGTTTTGGGGTTATGTAACGTTGATCCTGTTGAATGTGAATGTGTTTGAACGATGAAAGTGGTGCAAACAGTGAGAATTGTCAGTTAATACACTTTTATATTTATTGACTGTAACGTGGATTTATTTTATTTAATTCAGTAAGATAATCATGAGACCGAAGCAAAATGTCAAAGTGTAACAAACGTTCACTGTTACCTGAACCCAAAATGTTAGTTAGCTACAAAATGTTAGTTAGCTACAAGCTTTTAGTTTGAGAAGTTTCATTGTAGTGTAGGCCTAAATGTTAACCCTTTCTGTTTACACATTTAAAAATGTGTCAATAATGTTGTCAAAACAGCACGAGTTGATAACTAGCCTGTATATATTGGGCTTGTGGTTTTTTGAATTTCTCTTGAAGCCTTTATTAGAGCTGCATGGGTTTAGTGGTATAAAAAACAGCAATATTAATGTTATAGCTTAGAGCTTCAAACTGTCTTTAATACATTGTTGTCATGCAAACGTACCACTATGTTTGCTCATCATCATGGATTTGCTATCTCTTTGCAGCCTTGTTGTTGTTCACTATGACAGCTTTGCATTGGGAAACAACAATTGGCTTTGTTGTTATTGATGGAAACTGTAATGATGTCATCAGACTTCCTTGTAAAGCTACAAACCAAACAAAAAAATTCCGTTACGTCATATGGTACAAGGTTCTGGAAATCGAGGTGAGTTACCATCTGGATATCCTTTGCCTCGTGGTTATTAATATGGGTGTACATGTTATTGTATCAATAGCAGATTCTGCAGAATCTGGCAGGTGCAGCGCTTGACTAGGTCAATCAATCCAACTGCATCATCACACCACAGCCAAATATCCTAACACAGTTGTGCTTTTTATTTTGTAGAACTCTCCTATTATCAAGAAAAGAGGCAACGAGGTTACATACTTCAATTCTACAAATAATCTAACTTCTGTTTTTCTGGGAGAGAAAGAGACCCTGGAGTTACATAATGTGCAGCCTTCAGACTCTGGGACATATAGATGCTACCTGGCTGCAAACGCTGGAGGTCAAAACTATGATTCTTTCATTGGATTGAACATCTCAGGTAATTCAGACCTCTGGTCAGTAGGGATGGGTTGCACTGTAAATAAAATATGCAGGCTTCCACACAATTCATTCATGTTGTCTAAACACAAATCAAATACGCTAACTTAATTGTTTTTACAAATGTAAGTGAACTGACCATAAAACAACTAAGTCTCACAAAAATAGCAAGAATTTGGATATTTTCATTTCATTTTAAATAAGTACTTTGATTAAGCAGCAAAATTATTCTTTTTTTGAGTGAGACTAGTTTGGTGATTAAACACAATTAGTTATCAACAGGGTTTGTTTTGGTCATGTTTAATCTAAATATACCCATTTGCTTTCTCTCTGGAATGGCAGTCCTTCTCTTATGTCAGGTTTGATTGGATGACAAACTATTTGTCCTCCATGTTCGTGGTGTTTGAAGCTTGTCGGAAACAGAGCAGGTTATCAGTTTACTGTAGAAGATTTAATGTGTTGCCTCACTTTGCAGTGCAGAAAGAATCACTTATGATAGCGGGTTCTGTTATTTTTAGCAGCACCACTGACATGCACTGTACACACAGAATCTTGCCGATGAACTCTTGAACTTTTGCTGGCAAATGACAAAGTGTTATAGACCTCATGTTTGCTTTTGTTGCCTTTGGACATGAAATGTTTCCACACATAAACTAATTAATTTAATCAGCACTGGCTTTATTTGGCAATTGGGCACAATAAGAATTTGTATGTTTCCAATTAAAGTAAATCTGCAGTATCAAGTTTTTTAAAAGAGCTCAAAAATATTTTTCAATCTATTTGACATTTCTATTAAGTGCTGCAGCTCTGACCCTAAAAATGGGTTCTTTCAGAATTTTACAATTCAAGAGTTCACACTTAGCTGATGATTGATTAAGCTTGTTTGGTATGCTGTCCTGGGAGATCCCAGAGCTCAAAGGATCCTCGAGGTCTGGGCTCCCTTCCGTTTACAGGGCGAGAGGAGAGATTGAGCTCAGGTATATCTCGAGAACTCCCCTGCTTATTTGTGACTAGTGATAAATTGCTTTATGAGGGAAAAATACTGTTGGCTAGGAACTTGACTATGGTGCCAATTTGGTTTAGTCATATTACTTATGATGTATGGCTTTGAACGGTGGGAGGAAACACCGCACAGAAACATTGACTGGCCGAGTAAGGATTAGAACCAGTGATGTTCTTGCTGTCAGGCAACAATGCTAACCACTGGGCTACTGTTTTGCCCGATCTAAGAAAATGGGGGAGGAACCGGGGAGGAAGGAAGGACTCTTTAAGACGAGGATTACTGTGGAACATTATGAAATTTACATCAGCAATTTCCAATTTGCTGCAAGCCAGACTCTACAGTTCAGAACATGTAATTTCCCCCAATATTGTGCAGTACGTTTTATCACAAGCATGTGTTTTTAAATATAAATGACTACTTTAAAATTTTAGCATGTGTAATTATCATCATCAGTCCATATTTAGAACAGGTCCTGTTTTATTTGTGCATTTACCTTAAATGGGAAAACCGATTATAAAAACTCTCTCTCTCTCTTTCTCTCTCTCTCTCTCTCTCTCTCTCTCTCTCTATATATATATATATATATATATATATATATATATATATATATAGAGAGAGAGAGAGAGAGAGAGAGAGAGAGAGAAATGGTGAGACAGAACATTCATTTTTGGGTGAACAATCAATTTTAAGGACTCACATCTTCAAATTTTCTGACTGCATATTTAATTTTAGAAAGTGAACGACTAATGATATATTGTTTCTTTTCATTTTAAGAATGTGTCCAGGCGAGCACAGTTTATCCCAGCACCATTATTGCTACAGATTCCTGTCTTGCTGTTATAGATCTGTCTACCTCTTGGGCTGCAGTCAGCTTTATTCTCATCAGTGTGACCAAAATCATTTTGTGCATCATAGCTGTGGGGGTGAGTATAATATCGTTTTTGATCAGTCAATCTAACGATCTTTATTTCAATTTTTCCCACATAGATTTCCAGGAAACACGCAGACAGTGCGCATCACATGCAAATGTTAAATTCATGCAATACCGCATTTCAGTCACCCTTGAGCCACAGCTAGATGTCATTTAGTTTCTTTTCTTTGCAAGTATGTTTACTTAAAGCAACAGTAAATATGTTTTTAATGTTACAAATATAACACAAAGAGCATTTTTTCTTTAATATCAATAGTTGTTTGAAATATCTCTGAATCAGCTTACTATTGCTTTTTTGAAGGATTGGGTGACAGGAAAATTCAGCTTTGCCATCATGGGATTTTTTTTTGTAATCAAATAAACATTGGTGTTTAAAGGTGCATTTTTATTAAACATAACATTTTACTTTCGTTTACGTTCATATATCTATTTTAATGCAAGCACAAAAAAATAGTTCCCCTTCGGGGGGAACTTCAGCACTATAAGTGGATTTGATTTGTAAAATCCACGCATTGGGAGGATTCGGATCAGAAGCCGCTTGTCTGGAGAGTATTGAACGGGCCAATGAATGAAATTAATTGGCAGCGTAAGCTTGCGCAGGTGTGCGACATCTGCAATTATCTCAGCATATAAGCACACCTGAAGCCAGCAGACGCCTTCCTTTTCGCTTCAGATCCTTTCTGAGTGAGTCGATGAGGGTTCCTCTTGCTGATCAGCACTTCAGAGCGAACGAGTGTGTCTCCCGGTCCAGAGTGGGCCTTCGCGGTGGCAGACGGTCGAGCTGGGTTACTCCCTTGCCTGCGGTTCTTTGGGTCCGGTCCTCCAGAGCGGTGCGTATAGTTGCAACTTTCCTAAAAGAGCAACACAGTCGTGCAGCACGTCCTTTTCAGGATGGCGCTCCGACTGTGCGTTTCTGGATGCGGGGGTTTCCTGGCTCCGGATGATGGACACGATCACTGCATTGCATGTTTGGGGGTCCAGCATGTTAATGCGGTGCTTGCGGGCGGTTCATGTCGTCATTGCGATGCCATGACCATTGCACAGCTAAGATCGCGGCTAACTTTCGCAAGAGAGCGAGCCACCCCAGTTGCCTCCTGTTCTAAAAAAGCAGCGGGCGCTCGGGCAGATCTGAGGGTTTCAGTGGGAGATAATCCGCCGCCCACGGGCTCGCGGACCTCTCGCTCCTCAAGGCGCTCCATCCAAGCTTCGGGTGGTGAGAGTGATCCGTCTAACCAGATGGTAGCTCTCACACTCGCTGACACCGGAGATCAGATGTCCTCCGCGGCATCGGAGGGTGGGCTTTCACTGTCCGACGAAGATCCGAACCCGCTCGCCCCCTCCGGGCAGGTGAGCGCTGTCAAATCGGATCCTGAAGCGGACATGTTAGCCGTGCTTTCCCGGGCTGCTTCGGCCGTGGGGTTGGAGATGGTTTATCCCCCAGCTCCGCGGCCAGACCGACTAGATGGGTGCTACGTAGAGGACCAGAAGGCGAAGCCTTCGAAGCCTCTCATCCCCTTCTTCCCGGAAGTGCACAGTAGGCTCACGCAGTCTTGGAGGGCACCTTTCTCTGCCCGTGCTGCGTGTGCCTCCGCCCTCACCGCCCTTGACGGCGGAGCTGCCAGGGGGTATGAGGCGATCCCGTCAGTGGAGCGCGCTATCGCGGTCAATCTTTGTCCGCGCGGCGCCTCTACGTGGCGGGGTTTGCCCCGCCTCCCGTCCAAAGCCTGTAGGTTGTCTGCCTCCCTCGGAGCCAGAGCTTATAAGGCTGCGGGCCAGGCTGCTTCTGCTTTGCACGCGATGGCCACCTACCAGCGCTACCAAGCGCAGGCGCTGGCCGAGCTGCACGAGGGCGGGTCCAACCCAAGCTTATTACATGAGCTGCGCACCGCGACCGACTATGCTCTTCGGACTACTAAGTCCGCCGCGTGTGCGCTGGGGAGGACGATGTCCACACTTGTGGTTCAGGAACGCCACCTCTGGCTAAACCTGGCCGATATGCGCGACGTTGACAAAGTTCGCTTTCTTGACTCGCCCATATCCCAGGCTGGCCTGTTCGGCGACACTGTCGGTGAATTCACCCAGAAATTCAAGGCGGTTAAAGAGCAGTCGGATGCGATGGGCAATGTCATCTATCGGCGTGGCCGTAAGCCCGCTCCGCCCGCCGAGCCATCCACCTCCGCTGTTCCTCGCCGAGGGCGCCCGCCAACGAGTGCTGCCCCGCCCCCGCCTGCGCCTCCGGCCAAGCGGGCGCGGCGTTCACCTCGAAAGCAGGCAGCCCCTCCTGACCAGGGCGCCGTTAAGTCCGGTAACGGACCGCGAAGCGTCCCTGAGACAGGCCATCCGGAGAAGAGGAAACTTGCTCTTTCCCCGCTGGAGGGCGGGGCCCCGATAACAACGGTACTTTTCAGTGCCACCAAACATCAGTAAAAGAGCACTTTTTCCCTTCCCCGGATGTGACTGCACGAGTTCTGCCAGTCCGGGACGCGCTGCCTTCCGGCTCGCAGACTCTACGTGCTTCGCCAGTGGCTCACGAGCGCTGGGGGGACGGTCTCCCTTCCCTCAGCCCTCCAGCCCCCTCTCCGGAGTCAGGGTGCGGAGCCAGAGCGAATCGCTCTCCTCCAGCTCTTCCGCGGGACCCTCGTGCTTCCCGGATCAGCACACCCACTCCGCGCTGCCCCACCGCTGGTACGTCAGCGATTGTAGCGATGACTCCATTAGCGAGGGCTCTGCCTGCCTGGTTAGCGCGGGCCAGCCCCTCGCGGTGGCTCATACGCACAATCAGACTCGGTTACGCGATTCAGTTCGCGAAACGGCCCCCCAAGTTTACGGGCGTGTATTTCTCCAGGGTCAACCCCCTGTCTGCCCCTGTCTTGCGAGAGGAGATTGCTGCCCTCCTGGCGAAGGGTGCAATCGAGCCGGTTCCTCCAGCCGAGATGGAGAGTGGGTTTTACAGCCCATACTTCATCGTACCCAAAAAGAGCGGTGGGTCACGGCCAATCCTAGATCTGCGAGTTTTGAACCGCTGTCTGCACAGGCTGCCGTTCAGAATGCTCACGCAGAGGCGCATTCTCCAATGTGTTCGTCCTCGGGATTGGTTTGCAGCCATAGACCTGAAGGACGCGTATTTCCATGTCTCCATTCTTCCACGCCACCGCCAATTTCTGCGGTTTGCGTTCGAGGGTCGAGCGTGGCAGTATAAGGTCCTCCCCTTCGGGCTCTCTCTGTCTCCGCGGGTCTTCACCAAACTCGCGGAGGGTGCCCTAGTGCCCCTTCGGCTCGCGGGCATTCGCATACTCAATTATCTCGACGACTGGCTGATTTTAGCCCACTCGCGGGAGCAATTGATTATGCACAGGGACAAGGTGCTTCGGCATCTCCGCCTACTGGGGCTTCAGGTCAACCGAGAAAAGAGCAAACTCGCCCCCGTGCAGAGGATTTCTTTTCTCGGGATGGAGCTGGACTCGATCACCATGGTAGCGCACCTCTCCGAGGAACGCGCTCGCCTGTTGCTGAACTGTCTGAGGGAGCTCGACAGCAAACTAGTGGTCCCACTGAAGTTCTTTCAGAGGCTCCTGGGGCATATGGCATCCGCAGCCACCGTCACGCCGCTCGGGTTGCACCATATGAGACCACTTCAGCACTGGCTTCACGATCGGGTCCCCAGACGCGCATGGCACGCGGGCACACACCGGGTCTCGGTTACTGCGCTGTGTCGCCGCGCCCTCAGCCCTTGGAACGACCCCTCGTTCCTACAGGCCGGTGTGCCTCTAGGACAGGCGTCCAGCCATGTTGTTGTTTCAACAGACGCTTCCAACACGGGTTGGGGGGCCGTGTGTCGCGGGCATGCGGCTGCGGGCCTCTGGAAGGGTGCCCAGCTGCATTGGCATATCAATCGCCTAGAGCTGTTGGCAGTGTTCCTCGCTCTCCACCGCTTTTTACCGGTGCTGGAGCGGCAACACGTGCTGGTCAGGACGGACAGTATGGCGGCGGCGGCGTATATCAACCGCATGGGGGGTATGCGCTCTCGCCGCATGTCTCAGCTCGCCCGCCGTCTGCTCCTCTGGAGTCACCCGCGGCTGAAATCGCTGCGCGCCATTCACGTCCCAGGCACGCTCAATCGTGCAGCCGATGCGCTCTCACGACAGCTGTTACGTCCTGGAGAATGGAGACTCCACCCCGAGTCTGTTCAGCTGATATGGGCGCGATTCGGGGAGGCCCAGATCGATCTGTTTGCTTCCCCCGAGAACGCTTACTGCCAGTTGTTTTTTTCCCTGACCGAGGGCTCTCTCGGCACGGATGCACTGGCCCACAGCTGGCCTCGGGGCATGCGCAAGTATGCGTTTCCCCCAGTGAGCCTGCTCGCGCAGTTTCTGTGCAAGGTCAGGGAGGACGAGGAACAGGTTCTGCTAGTTGTGCCCCTTTGGCCCAACCGGACCTGGATATCAGAGCTCTCACTCCTCGCGACGGCCCTCCCCTGGCGGATCCCTTTGAGAGAGGACCTACTCTCTCAGGGACAGGGCACCATCTGGCACCCTCGCCCCGATCTTTGGAACCTCCACGTGTGGTCCCTAGACGCGAGGAAGACTTAGGTAACCTACCGACTGCGGTGGTTAATACCATCACTCAGGCTAGAGCCCCCTCTACGAGGCGCGCCTACGCCCTGAAGTGGAGTCTATTCACTGAATGGTGCGTCTCTCGCAGAGAAGACCCCCGAAATTGCCAGATTAGTGTTGTGCTCTCTTTCCTTCAAGAGAAGTTGGACAGCAGGCTGTCGCCCTCCACTCTCAAGGTTTACGTGGCCGCCATCTCCGCTTATCATAGCGCGGTAGCTGGCAGCACCGTGGGAAAGCATAACCTGGTCATCCAGTTCCTTAGGGGTGCTAGGCGAATTAATCCATCTCGCCCCCCTCTCATGCCCTCTTGGGATCTCGCCCTCGTTCTCACGAGTCTGCGATCCGATCCCTTTGAGCCACTCGAATCAGTATCTCTAAGATTTCTGTCCCTGAAGACAGCTCTGCTGGTTGCGTTGGCCTCCATCAAGAGGGTCGGGGACCTGGAGGCATTTTCGGTCAGTGACTCGTGCCTGGAATTCGGGCCGGATTACTCTCACGTCATCCTGAGACCCCGCCCCGGTTATGTGCCCAAGGTTCCTACCACCCCCTTTAGAGATCAGGTAGTGAGCCTGCAAGCGCTGCCCCCGGAGGAGGCAGACCCAGCCGTTTCTTTACTTTGTCCAGTTCGCGCTCTGCGCATTTATGTGGGCCGTACTCAGAATTTTAGATCATCTGAGCAGCTCTTTGTCTGTTATGGCGGTCGGCAGCAGGGAAGTGCCGTATCAAAACAAAGATTGCCATTTCACTCGCTTATTCGAGTCGAGGTCAGCCGTGTCCCCCGGGAGTTCGTGCACACTCCACTCGGAGCGTTGCATCCTCTTGGGCGCGTGCATGCGGCGCCTCTCTAACAGACATCTGTAGAGCTGCGGGCTGGGCGACACCCAACACATTTGCAAGGTTTTACAATCTGCGAGTGGAGCCGGTTTCCTCAAGGGTATTAGGTAACCCTTTGGTGATTGAGGAGACAACTCGGTAGGGTGTTGAAACACGCTTGCTGCGCTATTCTCCCTAACACGGAGGTACGTGCGCCCTTTTTTTTCTGTCAGTAAAGTTCCCCGTCAGGTGAGCCCTGCAGATTCCTCCGTGGCCCCCAGCACTGACTCAGCGGAGGAGTCACTTGCTGGCCCACTACGTTGTAGGTCTGCCCGCTGGTCAGCCCGCGTTTTGGGTATAGGTGCCTGCTATGCGTGATCCCCACTAGGCGATCCCATATGCTTATTCCGCCACGGTTAAGTCCCCCCCCTGGGCGGACCCGTGTCTTCCCTCTCCGCTAACCACTCTTTTGCTATGCGTACTCCCCCTTTTTAGGGCTAGTCCATATGTAAATTCTGCCATCTATCCCCCCCTTGGGTAACGGATGGCCTCCGCAGCGTCCTCCCTATCGGGATTGCACGCTTCCCAACGTACTGTCGTATTTCCTAGAATTATCTAGATGCTCACGACTTCCCAAAAAATATATCTAAATCCGTAAAACTTCTGTTGAAGTAGGATAAATTAGGGCCAGGGACACGTTGGAGGACCGCGCCCCCCATGATGTGGGTGCGTCACGCTTGCTTGACTATCTCCTCATCGGGGGTGTTGGTAAGGTGCAGTCATTATGGCGCTTTCAATGGGCTCCCAATGCGTGGATTTTACAAATCAAATCCACTTATAGTGCTGAAGTTCCCCCCGAAGGGGAACGTTCGAGGTTACTAAAGTAACCCTTCGTTCCCCGAGGAGGGGAACGGAAGCACTATACTCCGTCGCCATAATGACTGTCCCTTAGCTGTTTGAAAGTCTCTTCAGCTTAAAAGGATGGCGTCTGCTGGCTTCAGGTGTGCTTATATGCTGAGATAATTGCAGATGTCGCACACCTGCGCAAGCTTACGCTGCCAATTAATTTCATTCATTGGCCCGTTCAATACTCTCCAGACAAGCGGCTTCTGATCCGAATCCTCCCAATGCGTGGATTTTACAAATCAAATCCACTTATAGTGCTTCCGTTCCCCTCCTCGGGGAACGAAGGGTTACTCTAGTAACCTCGAACGTTCCTCTTACATCATTGACAGTTACCAGTCCTCCACCAAACATGTAAAAGCTTTTTTTTCAGTTTATTCATGACAGTTTGATTTTTGTATAATATTATTATTAGCAGCATTATTTATTGTATGCATATTTATATTTGCTTTAATAAAAACAAGTTTAGATTTGTCCACCTGTCGTGTTTTGGATCATATGGGGCATAGGTCGTGTGTTTGGACATAACTCATTTTTTGACCACAATTTGTTATTATTGTTTATTTATTTATTTGCTGAAAATTAAAACTGAACCTGGGAAAACTAAAACTGAACATTCTAAATGAAATATGCAGGCTAATGAATGTCTAACGAATGACCGTTTCCTTATTCACAAAAGTAAAGGAGTAAAGTAAAGAGTGAAAGTAAAGAAAAGTGAAAGTAAAGAGGTCAAATGGAGGAGGCTCATTATTTATTCTCGCACTGCAGATGGTCTATTTAACTGTTATCTTGCTAGTAAAGCATTCAGTTTTTCCACTTACAAAGTCTGCCATGCAAATAGCAAATGTGCCATGGCGTGATGTAACTGACTCTTAAAGGGTATGAGAGATGAGACTCTGATTGGTTTAATGCTCAAAACACACCCATAACTCATTAAGAGAATAAGCACAACACTGTTAGACATGCGCTGGGGCGCAGAGCATATTTTTCTGTCCTTAAAATAACAAAAAGTGCATTCGGATGTGCTCTTAATGCTTTTGCACCATGCACTTTAGACTTTGTGTCTAGATCGTTAAAATAGAGCCCTTGCTGTTGCTGGTTTTTACATCTATTGCAAGACAGATTAATTAAATTAATTGTATGTATAACGAGAAATAGCCTGTGTGTGAGTGTGAAACACTTGTTTGTAAACAAAGCTACAGTAGTAGTACATCAACTCAGCTAATATAATAATAATAATGACAATAATAAAAATATATTACATATAATCTAATATAAAAATATGCAAATGATTCAATAATACTACTAAAATGAATAAAAAAACAAACTATACATTTGAAGTCAGAATTTTATCTTTACCATGATGTCATCATGGTAAAGATAAAATAAATTAGTTATTAGAAATGAGTTATTAAAACTATTAGGGTTAGAATTGTTGAAAAACAAGAAGTGTTAAATAAAAAATCTTCCCTCTGTTAAACAGAAAAAAAAAATAGAGGGTGAATAATTCAGGGGGGCTAATAATTCTGACTTCAACTTTATGTGTGTTTGGTTGGGGGGGTTTGTTTCTGTCATAACAGTAATAATGATCCGCAGATTAAGGCACTTTTGCTGAAAACATTTTCTTCTGTACTGCTTTTACATAACAGGAAGCAGAGCAAAGGTTTGATATATGTAAGTGGGGGGATATGTGTGAAGCAAAGGGGGCCTCACTTATGACAGGACGTGGATTTTGTTTTTCTGCAGAATTTTGTAAGAGCATTGCAGCAAACAGGTCAGGTTGCAAACATCAGCTAGGTTTATAAACTGGCTTGTTTCACTGTAACTGACTTGTTTTCAGTTTAATTTTGTATTTAGTTATTGGAAGAAAAGGCATAGACTGATTGCTTCGAGCATGTGAGAGAATGTCTGTTTTTCGCTTGCGCGTGTGTGTGTGTGTGTGTGATTGCAGTGATTCTGACACCTAACTGACTTTAAGTTTCCTTTCACAGGTGTGTGATCAGGTCAAATTTAGAACAAGAAGAAAACAACAGGATGTACGAAGAAACACAAATGGAAAAAGTTCAAGTTGTAAAGACTGAGATTTGAAAATAAAAATAATAGCAACAAAACAATCAAACAGTTCATCCTGTAAATATTTTGTAAGGTTGTCTGTGCCTTTGAAAGGGTTGGAGTTTTTCATTTTGTGAGTGTAGTTTTGTGATAAATTGATTATTTTAACTCCTCTGCATTTTATTTAATTGAAGGTTGTCATTGAGAAACAGTTGAAATTCAATAGATCTGTACTCTGCACTTTGTGTTTACTGTTTTCCACCCCCAGTAATCTACTGTTATATGTACTGTATATGCAATCTATATGTATATTTCTTAATGTTTGTGTTTTTTATGGATCTCAGAGGTTAATATATTTTTATATGAACAAACAGGATACAGACAACAAAATTGTAAAAATTAATTTGTACAGATGCTTATACTGTAAGTACTCTCAAAGTCAACTTGAAGAGAAAATGTGGTTCAATTGTTTAACAGGCATTGTAACCCCCGGTAAAGCTTTTCTGTGTTGTTTATAATTAAAATAAGCAAAAAAGAAACAAAAACGCTTAGTGTGCAGGTGTCAAGGACACAATTGGTTTGAACTCATTAATGGGTAACACTTTACAATAAGGTTCATTAGTTAATGCATTTACTAACATGAACTAATCATGAACAACACATGTACAGCATTTATTAATCATAATTGATCATTTACTAATGCATTATTGACATCCAAGTCTATGCTTGTTAACATTAGTTAGTGCACCATGAGTTAGCATGAACTAACAATGAACTACTGTATTTTCATTAACTAATGTAAACTAACATGAACAAATACAGTAGTAAATGTATTGATCATTGTTTGGTCATGTTAGTAAATGCATTAATTAACATTAACTAATGAACCTTATTGTAAAGTGTGACCCATTAATGTGTATTATTCGGATTATAATAGTACAGTTGCAGTTATAATTCTGAAATATTTTCTAGATTTTGTTTTGTCAACCGTGCCGAAAAAACAACAACAAAAAGTCAATAATTAACCCCAAAATAAAAGTTACTCACTTTTTACTCACCCTCAAGTCGTTCCAAACCTTTATGATTTTCGTTCTACTGTTAAACACTAAAGAAGTATTTTGAGGAAGTCTGAAATCCTGTAACCATTGACTTTCAGTATAGCGAGGATAAACAAAAAATATGGGTCAATGTATGCAGGTTTTCTGATGTCTTATAAAACATGTTTTGTGTTCAACAGAAGAAAGAAAGACAACAGGGTTTAAACAGCTAAAGGGTCAGTAAATAATGATATAATATTCTCGTACGGCAAATTAATAAATTTGAAAATATTTCCACTTCAAAATATTGCAAACTATCAGTTAATTATTAATTGTTACATTAGGAATTATTGTTTTAGAAGGCAACTATGTGCGAATAGAGATAACTACAATTTTCATTAAAAATACAATAAATTAAAGTAAATAACCAGAAAATATTTTGTTGTTTGTTGTGTTTGTTATTTCTGGGTTATTTTAGTTTAGTTTTCTCATGTCCACTTGTTTATGTTTTTTTATGCTGTTTTAATTTATATATATATATATATATATATATATATATATATAATTTTATAATACTAAATGAGCTAATGATTTTGAATATTGGACTGGATATATATTATATTGGACAAATTATAACTGGATTAAATAATGACACAATGCAAATTAGTAAAAAAAAAGAAAGAATATGTTGTTGAATAAATCATGAATACACGTAAGTAATTTTTCAGATGTTTTTGCTTATTTGTTTAATTTATTGGTATGTTTAGATTGTTTGAGTTTTAACAATATTTAGGTCAATTTCATGTCAACAGCTCATTTAGAAATATACTTAGAAATAATCATCATGTGTTCAATGCTTCTCTTACAGAAATTGCTGTAAAATAAACACTCTAAAAAGAGTATTGGGTCGTAATCTCGGGGGAACCAATTTAATTTAAGTGCTAGATTATACAAAGAACCTGTAATGGTTCATCATTGATTCTATTTTACTGATTCTATTCTATATAGCACAGATATACAGATAATGTGATATGTGCTACTGTTTGTAAATGTAAAATGGTGCCCCTATGATTACAGCCAAAAAATATAAAAACACTTTTAGTGCTACAACATTTATATAACAATCAGGTATTTGCTTTTAGTTCAATATAAAAAAGGAAAGGAGTTTTAAGCCTCCTCCACACAGAAAAAGTGTAAATTCTGAGTAATTAAAAAAAAATAATAATCTGATGCTGTTGTCAAAACAGACCATTTCAATGTGGAAATGTCATTGGCCCATCAACAGTTCCTGCTTGTTATCAAACTATTCCATAACTGTAACATAATGTTAAAACAGCTTTAATTACAATATTTATAAATATGTGGTTCTTTTTTGATTCTCGGAAGGTATAGAAATCAAAAATGTGAAACAGGAAATACATTGGGACCATTGTTTTTGTTTACATCCCTTAAAATGGTCTATAAAACTGTTGCTTCATCTTACATTTAGAGTTTGAAACAGTAGGTTTTTTTTGTCTGTCATGCTGCTTTTAAACACTTGGAATAAACAAAATACAAGTTTTGATATGAGGAAAGTTTTGTAAAAGAATTGCTAATATTTTAGAAATGTGTTGACTAAATATTGTGTGAAAATAATGTTAATGTTATGCTCACAACGGGCCGATGTTGTGCTATTGTGTTAAGCGTTTTGAAAAAGTGACTACAGATTTGAAAAGTTTGTTAGCAAGTGAAAAAAAAACTTTAAGTAATATTAAAGTGCGATGAAGTTAAGAACAGGAGGAGGAGGAAGTAGAATCGGCCGTTGATCATCGAGTCTTTCTTTCGGTTTCGTTTTGAAAGCAAGAAAGAAAGTGCACGTAACAACGCTTTGATCATGCACTATACTTACTTTTTAATGTGTAAGTATAAAATGCATTTATTCGTACATGCATCTGCATATTTTGTTTGCATTTAATTTGTTGCATATAAGACATTCGTGTAACAGGACACATTGTTTACCTTCCGCTTATGTCTACCATTTGCTTTCATTTTAGCGTGTTTTTATTCGACATAAAGTGTAACCTCAGATATATCTTTTTAAAATGTCTTTCCCCTAGTCCATGTTCTGGTTCACCTGTCAATATCGATAGAGGAGAAAGGATGGATTAAAATACCATGTCGAGCTAATACAGAGAAAGGTGTGAAGTATAGGAGAATCAATTGGTACAAGGTTTGTACCAAACAATTTAAAATGCTCCAGCTGTTAATCCAATAGTTAATTGCATAACACATAAAGGAATGTTTCCTGCGTGGGTTAAAAGGTCAATTTATTTGACAGGTTGAAGGAGCTTCTGATGTGCTGACTGGACTTGTTTCAAAGAATTTGATGAAAAACACCACCACACTCTATAAGTTTGCCGCTCATTCCTATGAAATTGGAGAGGACAACTCTTTGCTTATTCCTGCTGTGACACAAAACGACTGTGGCACCTATAGATGCACATTATGGCCTCCACTGGGTCATTATATTCAGGAAGTAAATATTGAGTATTCTGAAGGTGAGAAAATATAAATTTACTCATGTTATTAGTTTGTTCAAAGTATTCAATACACTGTATAAAAATGCAGAGTTCCACATAGTTCCTTCATGTTGACCCAACACAAATCAATTAAGTTAACACTTTTAACAAATTTATGTGGATTGAACATTAAAAAATAAGTTGTCTCAATGAAATCTCAAGAATTTTGTTGTTTCAGCTCATTTTAATAATAGTTTGAATAGTTTGAAATATATTTTAAAGTGTACACATTCATCACAGTTAATTACAATTTTAAAAAGTTTTATATAGCTGTCAATTTTACTAAGTTGTAAATTTAGTTTACTGTACTTCATAATGGAGCAAATTACAGTAAAGGAGATGTAGCTACCAAAGACAAAAAAAAATCCCATTAATGTCTTTTGTTTCATTTTCACAGATTGTGTTTTGATTATGAATGATAAATGTGACAAATTAATATTGTGTGTGTGTGTGTGTGTGTGTGTGTGTGTGTGTGTGTGTGTGCGCGCATATGTGTGTTTGTTTTTTTTAGGTTGCATAAAGCCTCATGTGCATGCAGTTGGCCAGGTAGATGCTCTGCATGCCAATTATGATTTTAAAGTCCTTATAGTTCCATGCACTGTTTGGGCTTGTGCTGTTGTTATCATGTTTTTTACTCTGAAAGCAACTGTAAAAAACAAGAAAAGACTTGTGAAATTGTATGCATTATTTGATGTCAAAAAGACTTTCTCTAGCTTATAGTAAGATGTATGTTAAGTTTACCCTGCATTACAATTAAATGTGAAAAATGTATTTTTTAGCTAATACTCAAAAAAGTTCCAATAATATATTAACATGATTCTGTTTGTTCAAAAAGAAATTGCAATAAACATTAGTGAACGAGTGCGTGATTTCTGATAGCTTCATGGATGGCTTCCTTCCAAGACTAGTTTTTTATTTCTTTTTTTTATTTTTAGAGACAACAACAGAATATGTCAAATTCTAACAAGACACCCAAATAATAAAATAAAAAGAAAATATGATTTTGAAGTTTACAGTTTTCATTTCAGATATACAAACAAAAACTATTTAGCTTTAATATAGATTAGACCTCAACAATGACAGTATGTAAGACGTATATACATATACATATATATATATATATATATATATATATATATATATATATATATATATATATATATATATATATATATATATATATATATATACCCTAGAGCACTATTCAATTAACTTTATTTTTTACTTGTATCTTGACATACAAATCAATTATAAAAAAAAAAACATTAAAAAGGTTTAAAGTTTTTTATAATCATGTTAAAAAAACGTCTATGTGTGATCTTAACAAAATGAATAGTTTTCATCAATAATTGCTGCTAAAATATAATTAAGATAAACATTATGAAGTATTTTTTAATTATTTAGATGTCCAGAATCAAAAAGTTAGCAGACAAGCCTTTTCTCCCCACAAAATAAAGCTACAAAACAAGCATTCCAAACAAGTTTCCCCTCAAAGTTTCTGTTCTCTGAATACCGAAGGTCACATGACTTCTCATGAACACCAGTGGTAATGGCTTTTATAATCTGAAAATTACTAGGGAATAGTCGTTTTTACATAAAGTTTTTATACAAAATCAAATTTGCTGATTCGTCTAAAATAACAGATAAGTAATAATAATAAATAATAAGATTTCTGTTTAACTCTAAGAATTGTCCATGCACAATATTACTTTATGTCAAGAGAAATGGTGTACATAACACAAAACATGTTAAGATCTTTGTGGTGAACCAGCAGCAGAAAGTTTATAGGCATCGTTTGGATAAGTATTACAGCAATGACAGGGAAATCAGCCAATCAGAGAGAGAGAGAGAGAGGAAAAGAACAGAAGGCGGTCATGATTTCAGCGACCCAACCACAGTGTGAGGTTTCACGTCTCGGCAAATCTCGATTGGTTCAAACGATGCAAACAGACACCTCTACACACTGCATATGTATAGTACCGACTGGTGTTGGTTTCGGAGACTGTTGCTTTAGATTAGAAACAAGTGCAAAACATTAGGTTTATTTTGTATATTTAAATTAAACGAAAACCACCGCGGATTTGCACAATAATAAAACAACATATGCAAATGTGTTTATATGAGGGGAATTGTGGAGTCGTCAGCTTCTTTGAAAAACAAATCTGATTAGAGTTTTTTTTTACATGCTTAATAGATTTGCAACATGATCCATAAGCTTAAGTTAATTGTCGGCAAAAACATGCCTACTGTCAAATCCACGCCTTTTGTAAGTGTTGCGTAAACGTGTGGGAAGCAGCAAAGTTTAAGAGGATCTAAATCAATTCACTAGAACGATGATGATTTGCCTAATAGTGCTAGGTGAGTAAGATTTCTGTCACTTTAAACATTAAGGTTTCATTAGTCAATGTATCTACTAACATGAATTAAGAATTATCAATACATGTACATCATTTAGCTATTATTCACAGTCCAACTATTACTAAAAAAATTGCATTAATAAAATCCAAAGTTGTGTTTTATATTAGTTAATATGTGATATAACATGAGCTACCTTCATTACCATTGATTAATGTTATATAATACATAAATGTTATGTAATTATCTAACAAATACTGTAATAAATGATTTGCTCATTGTCCATGTTACATCATAGCATTATTATAGCATTAATACAACTCTACTATAAAGTGTTACTGGGTATAAGGGTTGCTGATAGTTGAAAGCAAAACATCAAAATTTAGGTCAACGCATTAAATCCAGCATACATGAAAAAACAAACATTATTTTAATCCAATTAAATCCCAAAAGCGGTTATTGTAGTTACACTATGGTAAAATCAACCATAATTTAACCATTTGGAGTAAAATGATTATATAAAT